TGTCAGTGTTCGCAGCCTTCAGATTGTATCCATTTGTGGCAAAAGTCGAGTAAAGTCTATTTGTCATCTCTTAATGGGCAACTCTAGATGGCTCAGGAAAATGAACATGTAATTTTCTAGGTTTCTAAGTGCCACAAGTTAATAGCACATCACAGTAAATTTAAGTTACGACATTAGGTGGCGCTATGCTGCAGCCACAAGGCTGAGTAGATAATTAGAAACAATGTTTCTGGTTGAGGCCCAGGAATAGGATCTTGCCCACCCCTATATCCTGTAGTTGGTGGCTCAAAAGTCTTAATATAAGTGGCTCAGAATTGTCCTAGCCACCAGAGGATTTGTGAGTGGGTCTCCATGCTGGGTATATAGCTCAGGGGGTGAGGACCTCTACTTCTGGGATGTGCATGGTGTTTTTCTGCCTCTTGGCTGTTCCTGGGCTCCAGCGGTTACAGCATCTCTGCCTCAGCTGTACGTCACTGGGGCTTTGGATTCTGTCTTGGTCCTGAACCACTGCTACCTTAGAATGGAAGGACTAGGTGCTGCTTGCTTCAGATCTCTTATGTATCCTGTTGCTTTGTTTCGTGTGTGTGTATGTGATCCTAGGCCTTCTCCTGGGTCTGCCCATGGCATTGATTATAGCCACGATCCACTCCCTGCCAAGGGGAAGGAACGTGGTGTTTGCTTACGCTCACCTTCTGTGTAACCTTAGGTTCCCATCTGGCACTGCTGCTGCAGTCTCCATGGGCATGTCCAGCCCTGTGCCTCGCCAGGGGAGAGGCTAGTGCATAGCACCTGCATAGCTGGATGACATTGTCCCACTAGACCATGTTGCAAGCCTGCGTGTCTGCTCCCAGTGGTCTCAAAGGTACCAATCCATGGATCTCACCTCGGGTACCATGGAAGATAAAATATCCCTCCTTACCACTCATAAATATTCCCAAGGGCCCTAAACTTGCAACCAAGGGTGGTGGGATCAGCCCCAGGCGGGTGCTCCTGTGTGAGGCCTCGCCCATCCTCACAAGCTGTCAGTGGCTTTTGTCACAGCAACTTTTGCCTTTGCCTTTGGCTCATTTTTTTGGGGGGTGTTGGAGCTCCTTTGCTGTAGCACGGCTGTTTTGAGTCAAGGATTTAGTTGTTTCCAAGTTGTGGCTGCCACTCAGTTTTCCTTAACCCTTTTCAGAAGCAGGGTAGGTGGAGTGCATGGCCCTGGGCTGGAGCTCATCTCTGGCGCTCTCGGAATCTTGAAAAACTGAGGTGTGGTGCAAGCTCTCCGTTTTCCTTTTGTAACTTAACATTTTCTGTCCACGAGGCAGTGAGAAGAATCTCCACTGCATCAGCTGCTGTCTGGATAGCCTTCTGATTGACATTTTGGCCTTTCCTAAGGCAACTGGCAGGCCTATTTTTTTTGGCTTCAGCTTATGGTTGGGAATTATCTCCCGCCCACAAGGCAATTGGGAAGTTGCCACTATTGCTATTCGGACATCTGTCTGCTTGGACATGTCTTGGAGCTCATGAAAGGCCTTTTTACACCAGTGGGTCAGTCATCTACTCCAGCCCACTCTCAGGACACCTTGGCCCACAAGACCACAGCTGCTTGACTAGCCACCCTGGATTCTACCCTCCAAGGGGGCAAATGACTATTCTGGCCTGCAAGAATCCCAATCATAGTGTCAAAATGTATGACCAGGGCTTAAAGCCCAGGACAAGCAGGTTGAGATTCCCACAGGTTGAGAACAACTTGAAGCCATTTGTGTTTATCTCCTTTACTCACAGTACTGAGAAACAAGGAACATCCACGAGCCCTCGACAGCAGTGGGGCCACAGCAGATACCCACCTTTGTCCCTGTAGTGGTGGTCAGATGTTTACGTGTATCTACACATAGCCACAAACATCCAGACAGTTGTATCTAATAGCTGCACCCACCAATAGCCATAACTAGACATGCCCTTTCTTTTGTGGGTTTACAGACAATGGTCTGGAGCCAAGATGGTAATGTAACAGGGTTATGGGCATCTGGACAAGTAGGTGGACTTGTTAGTTACCATGACACTGGTTGCCTACAGGCTGACATACGGAACAGAGATAAGGGGGGCAAGGACATAAAAGTGGGAATGTGGTATCTTGATCTTCTCGGGTTGATCTTAACACCTTTCTACTCTAGTGATTTTTGGTTGAGCTCCAGCTGTGGTTCCCCACACGTCTTGATGGTGATGCATACTTTTTTGACTTGGCCTTGATTGTCTTTGTGGGAATGAGTTGGTTGAAGGTAAATGGAAGCAACTGTGTCTAGTTGGGAAAAATATAGCCCCTGATGCTTTGTCATGATGCAGAACCAAGACCCTGGAGCCGTGTAGCCTCATAAGAAGTTATGGGGCTCATGCCAGTGACAGGGGTGTTACTAGTTATTAACTTCACAATTGACTTGGCAGTTTTCTCCTGGAAAAAAATTTCAGCAGGAATAACATCAAATGAAACATGGAAGTCCTCAGACAGCAAACACAGGTTTTCTAGTCAAACCATCTAGGTTTTCAACACTAGCTTACTGTTGGCTATTGAGTGATTCAACATCACCAGATCAGTCTAACATGAGGCTCCAAGTTGGAATTGTCCCCACAAAAGCTGGTTTTGTTATCCTGAATTCAGTTGACTAGATAAAAATCTGTTCCACTGAATAAGGATGCTTTATGCAGGCTGAAATTCTTAGTCATACAGAGAACTGCTGGTTGACTAGTTATACTTATGTTTGCTATGGCTAATAACTGAGCTGCCCATGCAAAGAAGGGTCCCATCCATGACCATCGAGGAAACCTAAGGTCTCGCGTCTCTACCACGAACTTGTAGAGCACAAGAGGGAGTTGTTCGATGCAAACGAGTTTTGCCACTTTGCTTATTTTAGTTCTTGTCTCTTCCTTTGGGCATCAGGGAATATCCCTGATCTTCATCCTACTCACTAAAGTATTGGCATTTTTGCTGAATATTTCCATGGGTTTTGTCTTGCTAATACTTGCTCATATTTAAAGAAATTGGCTCTTATTGATCTTTGACTTTCTTGAATGAGTCAGCCTTGAGGTGACCACTCTTCTGCATTATTGTAGTGGCTACCGAGAAATACCTGCTTTTGTTGGCAGACTTGCTGTCCACCTGGTTTGCAAGTCATGCTATAAGTGACTGTACCCCATGTGACGTATTAGGTGCTCTTGGAACTTCTCCAGTGGAAGCGATATTGAGATGGTAAGAAATGTAAGTTGGAAACCCCTGTAGTCTTGTCAGTAGCACTCACAGAATTTGCCCTAGAAAGATGACACGGTCGTTACTGGCAGAAGTGAGAACCCGTCTGGGAGACATTAGGGACCTGGGTTTAGGATTAACTGATCCTTCTCTGAAGACAACTGGTATGAAGACCTGTTCTGGAAAAGGGAGGCAGCTGCTGGTCAGGCTTTCCTAGTCACTAGCTCCTTTCTGATTTACTGATTTACAGATAGTCTGTGCTTGGAACCTTCCTTGGTCAGAGATGGTCTGTGATGACCAATCACCCCATTTTGCATGAATATAGCACAGATGAGGGGATAAAAATTATTTGCAGAAGGTTTTTTGTAGATACCAGCTTCTCTTTTTAACCAGGAAAGTCATCCATTGGAGGGTTAATGAGGGTTACATGCACCCTCATAAAACTTGAGCAGTTGTAGGTTCCTTAGTTGGATATGATTCGGCTGCTTTTTCAGTTTACCCTATGCAGTCTGACCAGAAAACGGGAGGTTTCTAGCCTGAATAGGTGGCCTCAGAAAGGAGCCTATACTCCAATAGCTTTTCTTACAGGGGACACATGAGTGGTCCACTTGAGTCTGTCACCTGTGTACATAGCTACATCTGTCACTGGGTTCCTAGGTGTGAGTGACTTCTGATTAGGGTCTTGTTTTTAGGATAATTTTAATGTACTCCATATTCACAGAATTCACTAATAAAGTATGAAGACCACAGTTCCAAAGAAGTATAAACAAGGGCTAAAATGACAATCATATCCCAATATGACCATTTCTATTCATGTTTTTGGTGTATTCTATATTAACTGCCATACATCAAACATGACATTTGGCTTTTTGAAATTGGCTTGTTCCACTAAGGATAGTCTTCAGGACCCTGTTTCTTGATTGTACTGCTTGTGTCTGGTCAGCTGAATATTTTGCTGCACTCAGGATGAAGTGTTGCTGACACTGGCAGATTTGCCCTGATTTTTTTTTCACCTGTAGAGTAACGAATTACAGCTTAATGGGACAGAAATAGGGATAGTGAAGCAAAGCTTATCAAAGTACATTCCACATGAGGAATGGGGCAGTTGGAAGAGAACATGACCCCCTTTCACCGTGCTCTGAAGCATTTATCTCAAGTTTAAATGGTGCTGCCCGGTGATGTGGCCCTGATGCTCATGACGGGCACTTTTGATATCTGGGCGTTGGGCCCCTTGGCTTTCCAGTGTGGTGGGAATGCTGACTTTGAGGGGCGTGAAAGCTGCAGTTCTAATCATGTGTTGCAGGGCCACACCAATGTCAAACTGGGTCTCATTGCACATGGGCCGTAAGCTGGGCTTCGCTGTTTTGGCTGAGCTCCCATTTTTTCAGGACACTTTAAGCACGAGTTGCAAAGTGGGTCCTCTGAGGTGAGCCTGGGTAGAGTCCTTGTTCTTCCCCCCAGAAAAGTGTCTTGTGTCCCGTTCTCAAGTCCCCCCATCTGCATTAGAGAAGTTTAATTCTACTTCAGTATTGTAGCCATTTTATATTTTAGTTCATGTCATGTGTAGGGTTATCCTTTAGCTTGGAAAAACTACACATCTGGTTAATTTGCCCTCTAGTCACTTTCAAAGCGTTCGTTCTCCATCTCATGCTCATCTCCAATTTCTGAAGGACCTCATTCCTAACTAAGCACTCACAGCAAGTTAGCACTTGTGATAGACCATACATTTTCCTTTCCTTTTTGTGTGTAGTTGCTCTTTCCCATAATGCACCGTACCTGTTCTGTCATAGGAACGTCCTTGGTGTACTCATTGCTGCCTCGTGAGTTTCCTACCTTTAAATAGGAAATGGAGAACGTTATGCCTATGGTCCAGAGTGGTTGTCAAAAGGAGCTGTATATTCTAGAATCTCCTATGGTGAAAGATAATTTATAATTACCACCTGCCTCCAACCCGCTGAGTGAATAGAATGCGTATTAGAAAAATACAGGTAGCATCTTTGCACACAGCTACTTGTGAAGAGACCATTCCCCACCTTGCATACACAGCGCTCCTCTGAGGCGGAAATACGGGGAATGCTTCCACCTTGAAATAACCGCAGAGTAGCTCTAAGTGAAATTATGTCAGACATGCCTACAGGGAGGGATAATGGGTATGTGGTATTTCTTACTGCTATGGATGACTGCTTGGGCTACCTCTAGGCACTATTCCAGCTTCCTGGATTGGAAGAAAATTACAGATATCTGGTCTAAGAGGAGCCTTGAAAAGGAGGCCTGCGCTTGCCACTTTCACAGGGTCACTGTAGTTCCTGATGAGTCACCCTGTGTAAACTTGATGTTAACTGGGATCACGTAAGTTACTATACAGGATGTGAGAAGTGTAAGGTCTAAGCTTAAAGATCCTGCTCTTCAGAGGTATTAAGTGTTCACTGTCCAGCATGCAACAAACCAATACTGTGGCACTGAGTTTTGAGAAAATGAAGCAAGACTCAGTTGTCTTCCTGACCTGAGGTTCAGGGTAAAGTTAGAAGGTTAGGAAACAATGGGAGAAGCAAAGCTGTGGCTTGGCAGGATTTGACAGGAAGATAACCACCCTGTCTTGAGATAATGTACAAAGCACTGGGCACTGGATCTTCCTTATTGTGGAATCTCTTGCCTTGGAATAGGTTCCAGCAAATAACTTTATTCCTTACTTGGTTCAGTAGGTGGCTGGCAGAATAACTTGAGATTCTGTTCATAGCAGTTGGTGAGAGAGTGATGAGTGACACTAGCTCGATCTTGCCAGCAGTTTTGTAGATTTAAATCCCTCTTTTTTTTTGGTGCATTTCTGTCTCGAGGGAATAGTGATGGCACTAGCTACTTCTGTTGGTTGTGAGCATATATCTTGGTTTGGGGAGTGAAATTGCTTAGTGTTTAAGCATTTCTAGATCCCAGGACTTTGGAAAAACTTGATGCTAAAGCACATTTATACTCAAGATAATCTTAGTGCTGCTACAATGATTTAAACACCTGGCAATTCTGAACTGTCGCTCCCTTGCCCGCAAAGGAACGACACTGCTCGCAGCTTATTGGTCTTCAGTAGACTTTTAATAAGAAAATAACAGCGACAGAGAAAGAATGGAGAGGAGAGTGGAAAGAAGAAAGCCCCCTCCTTCCTCAGCACACGGCTTATATACGAAATCTAGCCAATTGCAAGCAAGCTCAAGTCCATGCACAGAACACTCCAATCTGCTGCTTGATCATGCAGTGTGCACGCGTCCTCGGGCCAATCAGATGAGGTGTCATGCAGCAGGCAGGCTCACCGTGTGGTCCTCGGAGCCATCTTGTTTACAACACTCTCAACTCCTCTGGAAAGCCCTGACCGTTGGAAAGCATCGCCCTAACCGAAACTAGCAACATCCGCCTTGTGATAGACACAGCAGCAGCTATCAGACCTACCTTGACATGGGGGCTCCATGGCTGGCCATCCCATGGAGCCCCACAATGAACTTGGACATGAGAATTCATAGAACGCTCACAATGACCATCAGGGCTGCAATCCTGAGGGAAGGCTGCTTAAACCTGAAGGTAGCTGATAGCACAAGTCACGTAAGGGGTCTTTTCTCCCATCCTGAAACCATTTAACCTTTTGGTTGAATTTGTCTACTCCAGTTCCACTTCCTCAGAAGTACTTAAGTACACAAGTGCTATGAACAACTACCAATTTCTCACCGCTTAGCCATTAGGTAACCTAATACCACTATTGTCCAAATCTATAGACAAGGGAATTCTGGAATGTTTGAGCAGCCACATTTGTACAGGTGTCCTTAGCTATCTAACCATTGGTATCTTGGTATATGTAGATTCCAGCACTAGGCAGGAGACTAGCAAGAAAACTTGGTCAGACACCATGATCACATCCAGCAGGCATCTCTTCGAACAGTGGGCTTCCTTGTGTAGGCTGCATCATCCAGCTTGTGGATGGACTGAGTTCTATGTTGACCTAAAAGACATCCAGCTGTTGACACATCTTTGAGTCCATCCTTGCGTGAGAGTCATAATAAGCCATTATATCAACATATCCATGGGGAATACCATGTAACTTCTATGAGGGATTTTTATGAAGATGTGCTTTAAGGCAAGATGAAAAGTGGTTTTAAGCAAAGGATGACCTTGGGATTGTTTGGACTGGTTGCAAAACTGTTCATGTATTTCACCGAAGAAAGACATTGACATAGGTCAGTCTTGTTTTTCTTGGTCTGTTTCTTCATTATGAGATGGACTGTTGTAGTCCAGGGTACAGAACAATTCTGGAACGTTAACTTCAGAGGATGATACCAGACAAGGTGTCAGATATTTGTATGATTATAACCTGAAGAGAAGCTTCTGGGTTGTATCTGAAAAGTCAAGGCATTAGGAACTGACAGCAGGTTACAGGAGTCGCAAGGCATATGTGGACCTTGGATTCAACAGAGATCTTGTAGCAGATACCACATCCAGTTGCATTTCTTACAGTGGCTATGCTTTAGGATAGTCTTAGTATTATAAGGCTGGGTAGGTTTGTAGACATTTAAAATGACAGTAAAAATTAGAGGAATGATAGTCATAATAGCCATTAACTAAGGCAAATCAAATTTTAAGTTAGCTTGATTAACAAGCAAATGGACAAACCACAACAAGGTAGGAGAGTAGTCCAAGTAAACAACATTTAGACAAATTGGGCTTGCATAGCCATCTAATGTGCAGCTGATGTGGTCCTTCTGTTTTTCCATGAAGGGGTTGATCTCTGTAGGGATTATAAAGGGGATGAGACTTGTGACTATTAACAGAATCTTTCTTGAAGTGGTGAACACAAGGCTTAACTCCATTGGAGTTCTTTTAGGGAGCCGTTCATCCATTTGTAAGAATCGAGTCATTTCTCCCTGTATGTACTACATATTTTTCTCTGAATAACTACAGCATTCTAACTTCAGGGTTTGGAAGCCTAAGATGGGCCTAGTGTGTTCATTCTACTCAGGGCTTGTTCAGCTTGAATCCTACCTCTGCTTCTGATCCAGCTTCCAGCTAACGCACACCCTAGGAAGCAGCAGATAGTGATTCAAGCACTTGGGCCCTGGATGTGGGAGATCCAGATGGAGCTTCTGGCTTCACCTTGGCCATTGTGAGCATTTGAGGAGTGGACCAGTAGATGGAGGATGGAGTGTCCTCCCCAACCCCTACCTTTTTTCCTTTTTTTTTTTTTTTTTTGACAGGCAGAGTGGACAGAGAAAGGTCTTCCTTTGCCGTTGGTTCACCCTCCAATGGCTGCTGCGGCCGGCGCACTGCACTGATCCGATGGCAGGAGCCAGGTGCTTCTCCTGGTCTCCCATGGGGTGCAGGGCCCAAGCACTTGGGCCATCCTCCACTGCACTCCCGGGCCACAGCAGAGAGCTGGCCTGGAAGAGGGGCAACCGGGACAGAATCCGGTGCCCCGACCGGGACTAGAACCCGGTGTGCCGGCGCCACAAGGCAGAGGATTAGCCTAGTGAGCCGCGCACTGGCCCCAACCCCTACCTTTTAAAATATGGAACATTTTAAAACTTTAGAGACTCCAAACCACTTGTTATAGTTCTTCACATTGGGTGTTCAGCAATACTTGGTGTAGTTAGCAATCTTCTAGGCTTGGGAAAAGAACATCTGGGAAACATGCAGTGACTAGAAGCATACAAAATACTGTAGGCACCTGAGTACTGTATCTTAGATACAATGTAATCACTTTCCAGATCGCAATATTTAGTTTTAAATCTTCTACATAGCATTTTATAGGGGGTTCTTATGAAGCTTGCTTGTAGGGGCTACTCTTGGTCTAAATTGAGCAGCTGGCAAGACTTGATCATGCTAAGTAGGCCTGACAAGCAGATATCTTTCTGCCAAAGGTGTGGTTTGTCTTTTTCAGTGTGCAACTGGTAATGCAATCATAGAGCTCTAGATGCTTTTTAGATAACTCTGGCTATGAAAGCTCTCTGTTGGACTTTGAAAATGGCAACTTAATGCACGAAGTTACTCCTTTTAGTAAAGGTTTTGTTGGCTCAAATTTCTTTTCCATTTGACATGCAAGACTGAGTAATGCAGGAAAGCTATCCACAAATACTAACATCTGTTCCCTTAAGATCTTGGCATAACAGTGAAGTCTATTTGCCAATCATGTCCTGGTTCTCCTTGGATATGGACCCCTTTGATTACTGGAGGGAGTTCTGGTTTTGGATTATTTTTTTTACAGGCAGAGTGGACAGTGAGAAAGATCTTCCTTTGCCATTGGTTCACCCTCCAATGGCCGCCGTGGCCGGCGCACCATGCTCATGCTGATCCGATGGCAGGAGCCAGGTGCTTATCCTGGTCTCCCATGGGGTGCAGGGCCCAAGTACTTGGGCCATCCTCCACTGCACTCCCTGGCCCGGAAGAGGGACAACTGGGACAGAATCCGGCGCCCCGACCAGGACTAGAACCCGGTGTGCTGGCGCCGCAAGGTGGAGGATTAGCCTAGTGAACCACGGCGCCAGCTTGGATTACTTCTAATGCAAGATAAAGTTCCAGGTGATCTTTGCAATAGTCATTTGCACAGCTTGACAAGCTTTTTTAAGTAACGGGTTGCGACTCTCCTGTTAAGAGTTCCCTGATGTAAATGGGCAATAGTTCTGAGGCTTGGACACTCGATATTCTTACCTTTATAAATCCAGCTCTGTTTCATATTTTCTCCACCTAAGACTGGAGTGTATAAAACCCTCATTCATGCTCTTTCTAGATCAACTTTTGAGAATTGGTTTAAACAGAAAAACCTATGCTTGGAACAAGTGGCTGAACCCTTTGGTTTTTAGGTGCCTGCTTCACTGCCTGCTGATCCAGGTTATTTCCCTTGGCTATGTAGCTACCATTTCTTTGGCCTGGGCAGTGGACTGTGCCCTCTTATGGCAGCATAATAGAATCTAACAATCAATATCTTAACTTTTTGTTGTGGTTAGCAGGTTTCTCATGGCTCCATGTGTATATACTAGATATAGAAAGGGGTTCTCTAGAGTCTGTGCTAATAGTTACCTTGTGCTTTGTCCTGAGGTACAAGACCCATGGGTGGAATACAAGCTCTACCTTTTGAGCAGAGGGCAACTGTCAGGAGGGCCTCAACTTCCATGATCCTCTGGGTCACTACTGTATCTAGAGTTAGTGGTCCATGGAGCTGCTCTTGTCCATAAAGATCTCCAGGTATAAGTTTTTCAAAGGCTGAGCAGTCAGGCAGGGTCTGCTAGAGTAAGTTTCAATTCTTTGTAAATAGTCAAAGAATAAGCTCTTCTGTTTGGAAGCAGGCTGGCTGGGTTCAGGCACTGCCATTAGCTTCATGCTTGGGGTACCCAACAGCATGGTCTGGCACTTAATCTCCCAGAAGTAAGTCGATGCAGCAATAGTACAGGCAATGTGTTATGTTGGCCCGAGCTGAACCTCTGAGCCTCTTGTAAGAGGTCCTGTCACACCTGCTGGAAGACAAACTCGTCGTCCTTAAGTCACTATGTTCACTTGCTTCAAGTTCACAACAGACTTCCTGGTGTTGGCTAAATTGTGAGTACTTCAAGGCTCCTACTTTGTCAGTCATACACAAAGATGAAATGGCTTTCTTACATCTGGGAATCCAGGAGTCTCTGAAGCTTCTCCTTTATGGTTTTGGAATACTCCATGGATTCTAGAGTTCAATTATGACTCATCACCATGGCATTTGAAGGCTTTGTATGGGCTTGGAAATCAGTTCAAGGTGGGGAATCCAGATCTTAATCCAGTCATACACAGGAGTCTATAGATGCCTTGGTAGATAGGCATGACCACTCTAGCCAGAGCCTCCCGTCCTCCTGGGGAAAACACAAACTACTCAAAGCCTAGGTATCTTCAAGTTGAGGAACTTGGGTCTTCCTTTTTAAAAATTTTATATCCCACTATGCCAGGAAATTGAGGATCAGGGTGGTTATGATTTGAGATTTTTACTAGCAGTGTCCTCTGATCAGTAAGATTCCCTTGTTAAGTAGTACCACTAAATCTTTACCTAGACCTTTCTCAAAGATGCTGGGTGTCTTTGAGTTCTTGCAGGAGTACTGCCCAGCAATACTGTTCACACTAGTACCTGAATCTCGCTTGAGGGTAAATAGTTCTCCGGACTCAGGAGGGGGTATGCAATAAAAAGCTGTATATATATTTAAAGTCTGCGAACCAGCCATTCTCCAGACAATGGGAAGCAAGTATAGGGAACTGGCACCACGGGCTGTGTATCTTCTAAAATGATTGGTCCTTGAGTCTTGCATAAACTATCTTGTCCCTGGTTTTTGCACCTGAAAGATGGGAGTATTATATGGAGACTCGTGGGGTCAGATAGGTGGTACTCAAGGAAAAGAGCTGTCAGGTTTTCCCCTCACATGCCTCTTTCTTGTATGATCAACTTTGCAGCCTGAGGTATTGTTTCCTGTCCTGATGATACAGGAGTGGGGAAGATCATTCCCTTTTGAGTGTGTAGTAAAGTAGGCGGTACCAGTGGCCCCAGGGGAGTTGTCAGTGTGAAGTTCTAAGATCATACATGTGAGATCTAATCCTATTCTACAAAACTAGTCCAATTGTAACAGTGTGAGAGTGTAGACTCATTCTCGGGCCGATATTGGGCCAGGGGTGTTACAAGAGAATCACTTTCGGCTTATAACTAAACATAGTCCAGTTCTGAACATAACCTGAAGGTCTGCAGTCAGGTATGCTGTGACTATCTCCCACTTTGTGGAGGAGTGAGATGGCCAGACCAAGACCTTCCCCTGGGAGGGGGTGTTTGGGGTCTGAGGGTGGCACTCATGGAGATTCCTTCCTAGAGCATCGCCCAAGCTCTGGATATGCCCTCTTGGGTGTCCTGGGAGTTCCATACACCAGGCCTTGTTGGATTGTTCAAGATGGTGGGATAACCGGTCCCTTACAGTACCTCCCAGACCAGCTTATCTGACCTAGGAAAGGGAATATTCCTGAGACTCCTTCACAAGTAACAAGTAAGAACCAACCTCCATCAGGTGTCTGCTCGGACAACCTAGAAGTACTTGGGGTGGGCACAGAGAGCTTTGTACCCCTGTAGGGGCTCGAGTGCCTCAAGCAGGAAGTCACAAGACCAGAGTGCCTTAAAGGTTACAGGTTGTTGGAGCAAGGGATGACTGCCAGACACAGAAACCAATATCCAAGAGGTTTGAGCCTTGCCTCCCACTTCTGCCACTGGTCCTTCTAGAACTGTCAGCCCCAGATCAGAGTTACAGCTTCACAAGATTTAACTGAGCTTTTGTATACTGTGTACGGCCTGATGCAGAGCTAATCACTGGTGTCAGCGCTTCCTCACTGAGAACTCTGACCTTAGAGTAGGCTATGGTGAGTTTTCAGCTGCTTTGGGCCTGTAAAACAGAATAACATCCTAAGGGCAGTCTGTGATGGAGTCATAAGGGAGTGAAGCAAGTTCGGCCCTTTTAGCATCTTGGTACAGTTTCAAAAAGAAGTGTTCTTCCCCTTCATCAAGTCTCCTCTGAAATAAAGGCCAAGAGTGAGCCCTTCTATAAATGATCGGAAAAGCAAGAGTGTGCCTTAAGCACTCTTGCTACTGGCATACTAAGAGTGGTGTCTGATTGGCTAGACTATCTCAGACAAGAAAACTCTTGTTCACTGTCACTCATTTGCTTTTTTTTTTTTTTTTTAAAGATTTACTTATTTGAAAGGTGGAGCTAGAGAAGTCTTCCATCTGCTGGCCCACTCCCCAGATGGTTGCAACAGCCAGAGCTGTGCTGGGAGCTTTTTCCAGGTCTCCCATGTAGAAGCAGGGACCCAATGACTTGGGCCATCTTCCACTACTTTCCCAGGCTGTAGCAGAGCTGGATCAGAAGTGAAGCAGCTGGCACTTGAACCAGCACTCATGGTATGCTGGCACTGCAGACAGTGGCTTCACTCTCTACGCCACAGCACCGTCCCCCACTCTTCAGCTCTTGAGGGGAGAAGACAGTCCTGTAGAGGTAGCCGTGACTACCAGTGTGGGAACCAGATTTGTTCACTGTGATCCCTCTGGGGCACCCATTCTCACACGCTGAGCATGAGTGGTCTTCAAATGCCTGTTACGCAAGTGGAATGGAAGATGGCCAATGTTAGTCCACATGAGTAGCCACATCTCGGAGGGCTCTTGGCTTGCCCAGACGTGTAGGGGAGGATTCTTTCATTTGGATTCTGAGTCACAATGTCTCCCTTCAGCTGAAAGAACATTGCTGACTGCTCTGAAGAAGCTTGCTGATGCGTGGTTTCTGTGTTGTCCCCACAGTGAGAGTGAACACCTCTAGTAAGGAAGCCAACGTAAGCTTGAAAATCCTTTGTCACCGCACAAAATCAGAACAGTTGATTCATCTCCGTCTTAAGTGCCGGAAGCTTAGAGAACTATCATGCCTGCCTTCTGTACAAGTGTGCATCTAGGGATGCATCTCCAACTTTCACGATGAACAGTCATTCTCACCAGCATCTCTGGTAGAGATCGATGATAGCAATGAAGTCCTGAGGGCTTGGGACTCTGGGTGTTGCCCAGGGCTGAGACCTAAATGTGTTCAAGTTACTGTTGTGACTGGAAAGAAATGGCAGATAAGCAAATGTTTGGGATTATTTCAAACAAATTTTCATATGAATATAAACTGACCCGTTAGATATCTGTTTCTACCATCTTCTGTTTTTATATTCTTTCCAAAGAGTGAAGAGAATTGATCCCTAATTGGAATGTTATTCTGATGGTTTGAGTTTTGCTCTTTTGCATATTGCTGAGTTCTTAGTGAAGCACTAATAAAGCTTTGATTTTTATTTTTAAAGCGTTGTCCTCAATATCTTGAATCTGAATGTCAAATTCCAATGCATTTCAAGTGAGTTAAGAGGCTACCGACCTAAAATATCATTTGCGGGCAGCAAGGAAATTTGACACGAAGGGAAGTATCAAAACGAGTAACCTTAGACAAATTCAGTTTAATGGTGTTTAATGAATGGTGATTTGATCAGTTAGGCCGTCTTCGATCAGAACAGGTTGAACTCCAGCCTGCAGCACAGGTAGCATCTGTTAAAGGGAGAATACAGCTACCTCGACTAGATCCACACTCACATGAACATGCATTGATCAGGTGGCCAGCTTCAGCCTTACAAAATCTATTGCATATGTTCATCTCACCCACTGGTTGGCTGAAATACACCAACTGAAGTTTATTTTTCCCATACACCCAGAATTATGGGCTTGACAAACCAAACACCAGTTATATCTGCGTTAGTGACTTTTGAAAGTCACTGCACCAATATCTTCTCATAACTTGATCATTGTGTTCCATGATGAAATATGGAGTGTGTATCTCATAGCAGGTTTAAGAACTCGGGAAGGTCCAAGTAGGCCCTCTTTGAGTTCATGTTTCTATCATTTATAATCTTTCAGATGCTAACTTTATTTTTCCAAGTTTTGATATTGCACTGTTAAGACTTGAGTCAACCTTACAGTTTATTCAAATTGAGTGTCCTCAGTTTCACACTGATTCAGCATAAAATGACATAGCATTTCCTTGATAAGGTCTGGGTTTTCAGGTACAAGCATGACTTTCAATCTCCACTGAAGCTTATGGCAGCAAACAGGACAGCAGAAAGGAATTCGTCTCTTTAAGATTTACTGTATCTTTTTTTTTTTTTAAAGGCAGAGATAGAAGTCTTGCATCTGCTGGTTCACTCTCCAGATAGCTGTAATGGCCAGAGCTGAGCCAATCAGAAGCCAGGAGCCGGGAGCTTCTTTGGGGTCTCCCATGTGGGTGCAGGGGCCCAAGGACCTGGGCCGCCATCTGCTTTCCCAGGCTATAGCAGAGAGCTGGATGGGAAGAGGAGCAGCCAGGACTAGAACCGGCACCCATATGGGATGCTTGTGCTTCAGGCCAGGGCTTTAACCCACTGTGCCATGGCACTGGACCCGGGGTTCATCACTTTAGAGTCTGTTTTTGATGGGATTCTCCAATCAGTGAGAAGCCCTCTTTGTTTCCACAATATATCCAAATCCTGGATTACTCAAGTCCATCTACCTACATAAATACTTTTGTCCTGATCTGTGTGACAAGCTTGAGTGAGAACATGGGTTCCTGTACCTTGGGCAGACAACTCAGAGATGAGTTCCCTTCTTTACTCTTCTTGGGTTTTGGCAAACTACCTGACCTGATTCCTTTTTGGCTTTCAACATAGGATCCATCAACAAGTATTAGCTCAGAATCCTCCAATAGAGCATCTCAAGTCAACAAGGGGCCAAGATTTCCAATGTTGCTTGCATTGTTAGAGGTGGTGGAACAGGATTATGTAGGCTGTAGCATTTTAGATGGAGATCCAGGAACAGGAGAGACTTTATTAGTCTACTTGCTGAAAAATGCTGAGTTTGGAATTTAATAGACTTCTCCCAGCACTTGAGACTTGCCAATTCAATCAGCTTCCTAAAACTAGCTCAGATGAAGCATCTCCCAGGTTGGCTTCTGCTAGTGAACAGAAGTAGTTACGATATGGGTTGGCTACTGGGTCCAATTACAAGCTGTAATATGCAATGTGCCTGTCTTCCCCTACATTCTTAGACGAGAACTTAGAGTGCTTGTTATATTCATGAATGAAGGAGAAAGGGGAATGGAACATAAGTCTTAGGGCTGGAGGTTGTTATAAAGCTACTTTATGCCTCTATGAAAGCCTGATTATGACTGTTTCTCAAGGTAGAAACTGGTGCTGTGTGCCTAGTAAGCTGATACCATGGTGAGGCTATTAAGGAAAAACTGGGGACCTAAGATATGCGGTTTCCTTTGCAGGGAAACCTCTTGCTAACTCTAGCCCTTTTAGGCGGGAAGAGCCTTTCAGTAGCAAAGTCATGCCTTGACCAGTGTACTACTACTGAAGAAAATTTTCCCATCAAAGCCTTGATCTTTGAGTTGCTGTGAAAGATAATACAACCAATTTCAGGGCACTTCAGTAGGGGACCATAATGACTGATAGTTCATGTGCTGAATGAGCGTAGAATTTGAGAATCTGTAGGGTTACTAAGTCTTGATGCAATGCCTGGGGGGAAATGCAAGGGCACTTCCGGAGGCCATGTGACATTACAGTTCAGGTATACGATTGTTTCTAAGTAAATGCAAATGCGTTGACCCTCTGTCAGCTGGAATGCTGCACACAACAGAAGCCTGTTACTATGAACCATTTTGAATTAGGAAGCCCATAAACATCCAGATACGAAAGAAGTCAGTATTACAGGTCTGAGTTTTAGTCTTCCCATTTCTAAGAAAGCATAGTAGCTCTCACTAAGAGGAATCTAGAGAAGATTTTCTTCAGATACTTTTCTATGCCCTGTTAGCTTGTCAGGAAAGTCTTGCTGTAGCAAGTTCAATAGGAGTATATATAGGAAAACGTGTTTTGAAAATGGCACCAATATCAAACAGGCTTAAATGTAGGAACCTCTTGATGTGATTTGAACCTCTCACCACAGAACTCACCTCATTCTGAAGGGTTTGTTGGTTTGTAAAAGTGGGATTTATGGTAGATAAGGCAACTTAGTATCCACAAAATTGTACAAGATTCCCCAATTTTAAATTTGTTTCTCCATGTTCACATAAAGACTATGGGGAGTGATTTTCTAGAAAAATCCTCAATGGTGGTTTTTCCAGCAAAATAGCCTTTTTAATGTAGACAATTATGAGTGAATACCACGTAGGCTCCTGGGCAGAGTCCTAAGAACTTTTTATTGTAGACGTACAGTGTGTCTCCCACTGTGATAGTTTACAGTGAAGGTAGACATCCTCAGTGTAGGGGTGCCTGATTCTAGGACCTTGTGAAACCGTTTCAAATGAGAGCATGGAAGCCGTTCTGGCCTGGGTCTCTGTAATTGGAGACAAATAGGCTTGTTAGCCTTTTTGGGTTCCCCTTTGCTCTAGACCACTCTGAAAATGGGCAGCCAGGGCCACCAACTCGGTCTCATCTGTAGCTTTCCATCTCAATTTGTTAGGCAACTAATCTCGGGACAAAATCCACTTAATATAACAGTATAGTCTCATTCCCTATGGGAATACTTTAGCTGTTTAAGCACAGAATATTTTACAACAAGAGTTCACAATGAGCTGTATAACCAAAAGCTAGTTCCTGTTTTGTCTGCAAGATCTTGTGGCAGAACAATTGAATATACTTGTGTAAGACCTGTAAGAACTGACTGGAAAAGGATTTCAGCAATTCTCCCAGATCCATTAGGCCCCTTCTGTGAGATTTTGAAGTTTCTGATATCCTCTCTAGGCTTGTCCTGTCACAACTTTCCATGCTGTGTCAACCTTCAAAATCGTGTAAATAAGTTGATAAAGGTCAGGGAGCTTTGGATCCTAACCACCCAAAAGTACTCCGAATTCCTTGGCCAAGGTTTAAGGACTTCCCCTCCATTTAGGGAAGTCCTCTGCAATGGCTGTCAGCTAGATCTTGGACCAGAGAGCGAGGAGGGCTATGGTAGGCCTGGCCTAGAGTATCTTGCTTAGTTAAAGCATTTAACTTCTGTGTCTTCATTATCTGTAACCATACAAAAGAGTCGATGTGTGCAGTTGGGCCAATTCGGTCAGCAGTCCTTTTATAGTGAGGCTCACTTGCTTAAGCTTTTGTTTTGCTTGCATTCTGTAAAGATTCCTTTAGGAAGGCAACTTTTATCTTTCAGCTGCCTCAGCACCAATTCAAAAATGCATTCCATTGCTTTATTTGGGTCTTTTAATTCCTCCTTTTCTGATGCACCCCCAAAGTGGACAACTTTAAATAAAACTTTCCCATTGTAATAATTCTAAATTGTCTCTAGTAAGATGATTAAGCTATTTCTGAATTCCTGAATTCTAGGTCCATATTTCTTACAGATTAGCTGGAATCCCAGGCACCTCAGGTTGAGACAAATCCATTATCAAAACACTCACCAAAGACTTCTAACTAGATCCAGTCTGACTCTAGATGCCGTACAAGCTAATTGCTCAGATAAGCCTGGTTCAACACACAAATCCATGGAGCTTGGCTGAGGGAACTCACCTAAGAGCTTGTTACTGCAAGAGATCAATGGATACAATGGGCCCTGGCAGGTGGCTTAATGTGGTCTCTTGGTACTTGTAGGGGTCACTGGAAATGGAAGTAGGATCTGAAGTAAATTTCCAATCTGTTAAAAATCTTAGGTTTAAAAGGGCTTAATTGAGTAAAGAAATGACTCATGAATTGGGTAGCCCTCAAACCGAGAGCAGGCTCGGAGAACTACAGCATGATCAGATGGCACTCATGGGCAGAAAATGGAAACAGAGGCTGCAACTTGATCAGTGGCAGGAGGAAAGTGTGCTCCTAGCCTTGATCTAGAGATAAAGAGGTGGGCACAGCTAAGGTTAGACTAAGTGAGGGCTCTCCCAGTCTGTGCTGAACTTGAAGTTGGAGCTAAATGGAAACAAGGGTCTGGGGAAGGAACACAGCTTTTTATACTGTGGTGTGGAAGCTCAGCCCTTTGTAATCACCAAGCTTTCCAGTCTACTTTCTGTCTAGGAATTTGTGTGTCCCAAGGGATCCATCTTGTTCCTGATCCATGGGAGACTGATTCTACTTGCAACTGACACTATTTCAACCTGTGAAATCTAGAGTCAAGGAACCTTTTCCCAAGGGAGGGGGAGCACTACAGTTTCTGGGTTCCTCTGGGGGTGATGAGTAGGTGAGTGCAGGACTTGGCAAAGTGCCTATACATGGAGCAAAAACCAACCCAAACTCTTATTAGGGAAGGAACTGCTGTCTTGTCTTAGCAAGGATGGTGCTTACCCCAATACTTGTGTGTTACCCTTGCTCAGTTGAGGCATGAACTCTTAGAAGCACTGACATAATGTTGTTTCCTCTGCCCTGTATTCCTCAGGAGATGAGGGCACCTGTTACAGATGCCTGGGAACTGATGCCTGCTGTGTCCCTAGGGTTAGTTATATGACCTACAACCACATCCTGACTGCCTGTACTCAGAGCAAGGCTTAAAGAACTGAGATTGTCATGACAGATCCAAATCTGCTTTGGCAGTTTCTCAGGTCCATGATAGGTGCTGCGGCCTGGAAATGCCAAGAGGGAGAGAAAGTACATCTGGAGTACTTGGCACCAGAAGTCTCTGCTTTGCTCTTTTGTTGCCTTTAGTACCAACTGTGAACACTGTTCTAGAAAACCCAGTGTTGATCCTGGTCACAACAGCACCTTCTGTAGGTAGGAAAGACTGACTCGAGGAGCAGGTCCTGAAGTCATTCCTCTTGCCATAACGTGTAAGGACTGGGCCCACCAGGCTCCCTGGGCAGAAGCAAGAGCCTGTGTTCCCTTCTGTGATGGGGAAGTCACTGCTGGTCTTGCTCTCCAGAATTGAGGTCTTTTCAGGCTGTTTGTTAGTAGTTCAGAAAGACAAAATGGGGCTGCTGTGAGGTGAAGGTAGAGCAAGTTCAGAGGTGTTGGTCAGGAAGAACCTGGCTGTCATGGGTCACTGGGAGAAATGTCCAGCCTTTTGTGGTAGCTCCACTTACCTGCCACTCATGAGAAGCAGGACTCGGTTGTCCCCTCTGTCCTGGGAGCCACTCAAGGATGACAATCTGAATGCATCCAGCCATCTTGATCAATGGTCATAGTTGTCTGGGCAGTTGACCTTCTGAAAATGGTTCTTTGTTTGGAATAACCTGTATATGACGAACATTTCTAGCTTAGCTGACGGGAGGACCCAGTGTGGAAGTGACATGGGCCCCAAGAATAGTTTGTGGGAAGATTTTTAATCGCATATTTAGTTGACTTCAAAGGAAACATGAATTGGATTCCACACAGATTACTCTTCAAGCCATTCACACTATCCATGTGAACTAAATGCCATGTCTTCGTGATGCGAGGCTGTGAGGATCAGAGCTGTTAGTACTGATGGGATCTTTTCCTTCATCGGGATCCCCAGAGAAAGAATAGTTATGAGGCCTCTTGCCTGAAATGTGGCTTAACAGCTGAGTGAATGCTGGGTTTCTTGGAGACAGAACTTGTGAGTTTGGGGCTGATGCTGTATTCCTGTGATGGTGTGACAAATGAGCAGAGTAAGGAGCTTAGAACAAACTTGTTTTTGAGATGGGAAGTTTTAAATGAGCCTCCCTTAGAGAAGATCGAGGTTCGACAGATGTTTCTTCCTGGCTGCTCTAAAGACAACTTGTTACTTAGCTTTAGCCAAATTTAGGGACCCTGTGGTGCTCACTGGCTATGGTTCCTTATTCCCAGCATCTGGACTCCCTTCAGTTTCAGGGTCAGGCTCCCTCTGGCTGCAGAGCCAACCCATTCCATGAAATCTAACACTCACCTGTATTTCAACTGACCTTCCGTTTTGTCACCCGGATCACCTTTCTGAAGACAGTGCTCTACCAACCCAATCCAGAAGGGTCTCTAGCTAGTCAGCTGACCACCATATCCAAGCTGTACCAACTACTTCTCATTGGTGCACACCTCACTATATTTTGTGTATGGAAAAATAAGGTCAAGTGGGTTTTAAACTTAGCTTTGTAAAATGTGGTTCTTTGAGCTTTTAAAAGCATTCATCTCAAATTTGAGCAACTGCTCTCTGTAGTGTGAAACAGTCCACTCTGTTCTACTCCTGGATTTTGTGACACTAGCCAATGACATGCTGCCTCTCAATTGCAATTCTTGGGATGGAGTGAGGTGGTTTACAACTTTTTTCCTGTGTGCAGTCCTAAACCCAGGAGTCAAGCTTATCCTGTGCTGGCCTCCAATAGATTGCTGCCAAGAATAGCTTTGCCTTGGCTCACTTCTCTGTGACTGACTTGTATCAGCCCAACCTCTGGTAGACATAGCTTAGGTTATTTGACCCTTGTCCATCTGAACTTCTGGTTTGCCCTGTGGCCATTGGAGGATCGTCTTTATGGCAAGGTATTTGCAGTGGCACAGTTGGAGGCTCTGATTACCGTCCTGCTTTGGGGAAGCATCCACTCTTCTATCCCAGGGTGGTTGCCTTGGTGTCTGACATGGACAGTATTCACTGTGGACCTGGGCTGCCACTGTCCCTTCCCAAGGCTGATAGCTTTGTCCTCATAAAGCGGTGGTTCAACTTTATCTGCTGTTAAGACTTGTTAAGAGCCCAAAAATGGCCATGCTGTTGTGTATAAGACCAGTAATTAAGTCACAAGGTGTTCTCCTTCCAGATGAAGACTGAGCTTGAAATGCGTCCAGAGGACTAAATACAGTCAGTCTCCTTTATGAAGCCAACCCTGACTTGCTTGGACGAGTTGGGTGAAGGTCATGTATTTTGTTAACTACAAAAAACTTACTCTGGAGAATCAAGGTCTGGGTTTCTGGCCTGCAGATGAGTCCATGTGTTGGTGGTAGACTCTTTGCTTCTTGATTGGGTGGTTCCCCCTAGCGATGGCCTCGATGACCTCTGTAGAAGCTGATCGTTCCATCTTGATGTTGTACCTTCTGAAAGCATTAACCTTGCAGTCCACCATTTAGTGTATTCTGATGAAGGGGAGGATGCCATATGCTTCAGAATGCACTGGAAGATGGTATAACACTGGATATTCCAGGTCTGATTTCTAGTGACAACAGAAGTCAAATACTAAGTTGAATATTGGTCAAAGTTTGTTATGATTTAATTATGATATTTATCATGGAAATACATGGGTTTTGAATACATGGCATAGAGAATGATTCCCTACTGCTGCTCTTTAGGATTTCAATACCTCAGGTAAAAGGGTGAAGATATCTGAGCAGATAAGGATTCAAAGGCATTGGAACCACAAGTCCAGAGCCATGGAGGGAATCCTGAACTAAAATTCCTAGAAGCCTTGTGCCTCTCTATGGACCCTAGAGGCCCAAGAGGAAGGAGAATGTTTGATAGGTGCTCATTCTCTTGTATTTTCCTTTGGTCATCAGGAAATTTGTATATTCACCCGCATTCCTTCTAGTATTGATCACCCAACTTTACAGAGCTATTTTCTTGCTGAATATTGCCATCTATGGTTCATGACCTCATCCTTTGTGGATAGCTCCTGTATTTTTGAGGCTGTCAACTGTACGTTTCCTGGACTTACTTAATTCTCTTGAATAAAGTTCTTTTAAAATGCTGGTGCCCCTGAGGTAGAAGTCTTAGCCATGTGTGTTCTTGCAAATGTTGAGGCTCTGTCAAACACTTCAGTTTTCTGATGGGGTGGTGTTCACCAGGGTTGAAAGTTACAACATTTATCTACTCAGTTTAAGAGGAAAGGGTTTACTTGAAGAAGCTGGCAGTGCTGGGTAAAGAGCAATCTCTGGTCCAAACAGTGCTCTTTGCATCCAACCAGCCAGCAAAACGGGATTTTTAATGGGAAAGGGGTAGCTACAGGGGAGGCTAGATAAAAATAAGAGTCCAGTCAGTTACTAATCAAGCAGGTTTCTAATCTTTCTGATGGTCCAACAACAATCGTTTTCAGGCTGGAGGTCTTGGTATGCCATAGTATGGCCTACTCCAAGTGCAAGGGCCTCAGAATGGGGGAAGCGGAGGGTGGAACTCAAAGGGGCTACTTACGTAAGTTGTGAAGTCCAAATGTCAGGAACTGATGCCCAAGACAGGAGTCCAACATGTCACGACATTCAGAAATTCCCCTTTGGTATTCTCTCCAGACTCGCAGACAACTGATACTATTAGCAAAATAGATTCTTAAAATAGGAGAATTACTCATGACAATCACACTCCGTATTGATGTCATTGGTCATGTGGATCTAGCTAGCATTTAACTTTTTGTCTTTAGCAAGCAACTCTGCTGATTGTGGTCCATTGCCATGTAGGGTTATCTAAACCTTCATTCATGCAGGGTCTGAGTCACTCATAGTAGTACTTGGATTGGGTTGCAGTTTCCCATTGATCTTAATCATGGTACAGGGTAATGTTGTGAGAAGACACGGGAGATCCCCTGAATTTGAACATATTCTTCGTGGCTGAATCCATCTTCCCCTTCATATTCTAGATGAACCACTCCAGCCACAATGCCGTAACTTCCTCCTTAGCCTGTTGATTTAACAGCATGCAGGTGGCTGGCTGGCAGTTCCAAAAGAAGGAATTCTTCTACCAGGACATACAGGTGTTCCATTGAACTAAAAATTAACATTCAGAGCATAGTCTTGAACGGGAGGAAGAAATGTTGCTAGTGGAGCACTAGGTACAAGGTGCCACTCCCATTTCCACCTCTTGATTCCTGGGCCCACAAGTCCTGGCTATTGTAGAAGTAGCATCCAATGTTGGATGCTGACTGAAAGCCTACAGTCTCCTGGCGGACCTTTCCCAATTTGCATAGTGTTGACACCTAGCTGGTGCTGTATCTGTCACTTTCAAAGATTCTATTCTATCTGGCTAGTACAGGATGATGGGAAACGTGAGACCACTGGATCTCATGTGCGTGAGTATTACCTCATTTTGGGGCATAAAATGAATTCCTTGATTAGAAAGGATACTGTATAGATGGTATCTGGTGCAAAGACCAATCCATGTCTGGGTTCAGTATTCCAGTAGGGACAAAATGCTGTCCTTTGAAGGAAGCCATCCATTGTGATCAACCTGCCCTCTTATAGCTGGCTGATCACTGGAGAATGATGCTTTATTGGAGGCTCAGTGTTCTTGCTGATATTGGCCACTCAGCAATGGGTGTGGCCAGACTGGCCTTGGTGGGCAGGAATGTGTGGTTGAGCCCACGCATATCCTCCATCGTTGCCACCATGGCCACTATATTCATGAGCCCATTGGACAATGACAGGCGTTGAGGCTGAGACTCTGAGAACAGGTCATGCTGTATATCTGACTGAATTCTCTGCGAGTCACCTTTTAGGCATCCACATGGACACAAATACCTGTGCATCCTGTTCCCACTTGGACATCTAGCCATATACTTTTCCACAAAATTTCACTGACTTTCCGGTTGAGCTTCTTCCATGTCCCTGGCCATCCAAACTTCGTCCATGAATTTGTAGATAATCATACCTGTAAGCTGGTTTTCCCCCTCAAACATGTTTAAGCATTGCACTGCCAAAAGTCCTGATCACTGGAAAGATTTCCCCGCACCAATGTCCTTCAGAGATGTCCCAGAAAATGTCCAGTTGCTGCAGCTATCCACTTCCAGGGGCAACCTGTGTACTATGCAGAACCACCTGTAAGCCAGGCCCTCTGAGCTAACACTGCATACCTGACGAGGCTGTAAGTGCAGGATGAGACTCCATGAGCATTTGTGCTGCTTCATGATGTGTGTGTGTGTCTTTGGGCCCTGCTCAGGCCTGGTCACTCTACAATTTTTGGAGTGCTGCCGTGATGGCTTGCTGGGGCAGATGACTTCCAGTTCATAAGAAGCTCATGCTACGTGGGATCCTGATCAGTTTTATAAAGGCCTGGTAACAGGCCAAGAGCTGTTTCTCCAAGAGGCGAGTTATCGGCAGATCACAGGACCTTGCTCAAGTCCTAAGGGTCTTGACTGGGACCACCTGTGAGGGCCAGCCAAATCTCCAGATAGCATCCCTGACACTGTCGGATTTGCTGTCATGTGGTCCAAACAGAACAGCCTGCACAGCAGTCTTGTTGCAAAGCATTCTCCTGTTCTGGGCCCTACTCAAAACTAGCAGCTTTTTGGGTCACTCAGACGGGTGAAGTAACACATACACATGAGGCCTGTGCTGCCTTGAAAACCCAAACAGGCCCACTGGGCACTGTGCTGCTTTCTTGGCTGTAGGAGGAACAGGTGTCACAACTTATCCTTCATCCTAGAAGGGGCATCTGGGCATGTCTCGCACCACTGGACCAGTAGGAATTCACTGAGGTAGAAGACCCTGAATTCTAGTTGGATTTATTCCCCACCTTATGACAGGCAAATGTTTTACCGGTAAGTCCAGAGTGGTTCCTACTGTATGCTCACTAGGTCCAGTCAGCATGTGTCATCCATGTAGTGGACCAGCGTGACAACCCATGAAAGAAAAGGGGAATGCAGAACACGGAGCTGAGTTATGAGACATAAGGCTGACGAGTCCATGTGCGCGTGAGGGAGGTCAGGGAAGGTGTATTGCTGGCTTTCCCAGCTAATGTAGGTAGGCCTACGAGTGGTAGAAGGGCGTTTGCCAAATCACTAGCTGCATACTAGGTATTAGGGGCGGTGTTAATCTGCTCAAGCAATGGGACAGCATCCTTCGTAGTAGCTGCAACTGAAGCTAACCTTTGGTCAGGCTTGCGATACGCCCCAGCCATTACCCGGATTCCTGCTGTCTTTGCACAAGACATACAGGAGAGTGGGATGGGCATGTGATGGGGAATCGCCACCCCGTATCTTTCAAGTCCTGGGTGGTAGCACTAATCCCTGGGATCCTTCCAGGAACGAGGCCTTATTTTTGAGCTACTGTTCAAGGTGGAGGCATCTCTAAGGGTTTACATCTAGCTCCTCCATCTTAATAGTCCTCGTCCACAGGTTAGGGAACCAATGTGAGTGTTCCACTAGCTTCTGAGTATGTCTACTCCAACTGTACATTCTAGGACTGGGAAAGTGACCACAGAATGGGTTCTACCACACCCCCAGACCCACTGAATCATGAGCTAAAACTCCACGAGTCCTCTAACCTCTTAACTCCTTACTTGAACTGGAGGGAAACAGTGACATCTTGAGTCTTGTTGAATCAACTTTAATTCAGAATCGATGTCAATCCAGAGCTAGTGTCTGGTCTCCAAATGTCATTCCCACCCCCTCCCTTTTTCCCAGTGTGTGACGCTGGTAAGAGCCCATAGGTCACTTTGGGGAAGAATAGGCCACCTAGCCTCCAAAGGCCTCTGGGTGTGTAAAGTGGTTTGAGTCCGGAAGTTAATTCGGGGGCCGTGATTCTGTGGTCAGTTTTGAGTTAGACTTCTGTTCTCAAGCCTGGTGCTTGATCTGTACGAGCAGAAAACTAAGGACTTCCTCATTTCGCTTCCAGCCCACACCCACAGATCTGCTGGGTAGGCTATGCTGACTCCGCTTTGGCTCTGCTGTCCATTGTAACTATGTCCACCTTGCAGTGATGGGTGAGTGCTGCTGCTTGGCCCCAGCCACCCCGGGATCCAGTTACTCCCAGAGTGCTAAAATCTTCTGGTCAGTGGTGGCATCGCTGCTGTAACATCTGGCTGCAGAGCAAGGTGACCTCAGTGCTCTTCAGCCATGCTGGGAATCTCATACTTGTTTTCTGAGTTGACTAAAGAGTTCTGGATCCTGCCAATATCTTGTGTTACTAATCTACTCTACCATTCCAGTGTCCGGAAGATTGAGCACCTTCCTGTATGGTAACTAAGGGAGGTCGGGCACCTCCAATCTACACACAGCGGGTGTCTTTTGATCCATGTTGTGTCCAACCAGCAAGGATACCTGAGCTGCACGTCAAAGGCATGACTGCTGCCTCCTGGCTCATGTCAATTTGACCTGGTATGATTTTGCCCTTTCTATGATAACTCCCTGGGCCCCAACACTAGCCCCTACAAGATTCTCCAGATCTCTATGGTTGAGAAAAGTTGAGTCATTCTCCTGGTGTATACTGCGTGCTTCCTCATGTGGTGTGTGTGTGTGTTCAAGAGATTTTTAGTTGAAAAAGGTAGAGAGGTCTTCCATCTACTAGTTCACTCCCCAGGTGGCTGAAACAGCTGGAGCTGTGCTGATCTAGAGCCAGCAGCTTCTTCCAGGTCTCCCATGTGGGTGCAGGAACCCAAGCACTTGGGCCATCTTCCACTGCTTTCCTGGGCCACAGCAGAGAGCTGGATTGGAAGTGGAGCAGCCAGGACTAGAACCGGCGTCCATGTGGGATGTCAGCACTTCAGGCCAGGGCTTTAACTTGCTGTGTCACAGCGCTGGCCCCCATGGGTCATGTTTCTACATCACCTAAAGAGGCCTGTGGGGATGTGAGTTTAGTTGTCAGCTTAGAAGCAAAGAGTGGAGGGGTGATTCTTAAGGGATCAGCAGTGTCTGACCTGGCCACTGGCTTGAGAGAGGCTGTTACTTCCCCAGACAAGGTGGACAGCCAGGTGACCACATGAGAAGGCCTCATCAGACTTTAAACTCACTGTCCCCTTTCTCATCAGCAGTCCTCCCTCACATCCCCACCCTGACGCAGGATCCCATTCTTTCTTTACCAGCGCCTTAATTTAGGAGTAGACACATGATGCAGAGGATAAGGGCATTCAGGAGGAACTGCTCTGGGCTAACTGGTAAAATATTTGCATGTCAAAGACAGGGGAATAGATCCACCTGGAAATCGGGCTTCCACCTCAGTGAATTCCTGCAAGTCCAGTGGTGTGGAGCATGCGGAGATGTGTAATTCTGGATCACCTCAGCCCTGTGCCCACAGAAGAATCTGACCCAGGAACTCTTGGACACTCACAGGTCACCCATGCAGAAACCTGATCTCTGAGCTCATCTTTTGCTTCTATGACTTTGCCCTGTTGGACATAACCAGCCAGCACCATTAGGTTACTTACTTCTCCATGAGTGTCCTGAAGTGTAGTACACAAGGTCACTAAATTTCTTGCCTTGTATGAGTGGTGAGCTCAGGATATCAAATGCATTTGTCTTGTGCATCTCCAAAAGCACTCTGCCATGGACTTACTGGTATTCAGTAGTGGAAAGTCTCTATTACTTGTAGGTCTCTTGATATTAGAGAACCTATTCCAGAAACCCAAAAGCCAATTAAGGAAACCCATTAAAATTTCATTCCTTTAAAGCCACACAGAGAGCCGGCGCCGTGGCTCAATAGGCTAATCCTCCACCTTGCGGCGCCGGCACACCGGGTTCTAGTCCCGGTTGGGGCGCCGGATTCTGTCCCGGTTGCCCCTCTTCCAGGCCAGCTCTCTGCTATGGCCAGGGAGTGCAGTGGAGGATGGCCCAGGTGCTTGGGCCCTGCACCCCATGGGAGACCAGGAAAAGCACCTGGATCCTGGCTCCTGCCATCGGATCAGCGCGGTGCGCCGGCTGCAGCGGCGGCCATTGGAGGGTGATCCAACGGCAAAGGAAGACCTTTCTCTCTCTGTCTCTCTCTCTCACTGTCCACTCTGCCTGTCAAAAATAAAAAAAAAAAAAAAAAGCCACACAGAGTACCAAAATCTGTACTTGCTGGTTCTCAGAATGGAGAGTGTATCCACGTGTGTGTGTGTGTGTGTGTGTGTATGAAGGGGGATTTAATTGGCTTATGTGATTATGGCAGCTGAGAAGTTCCACTGCAGCTGGCCTGCAGCTGGAGACCCTGCGATACCTTTAGCAGTGTGAACTGAGGCTAAGAGCCTGAGTACCACGAGAGGCCACTACCTTCAGTCCTAGAGCACAAAGCCCACCAACTGATGTCCAAGGCAGAGACCAAATGTGTCCCAGGTCTCATGGGTCAAGGGTGTGCCCCTGCACTGAGGCCAGGTCTTTCCCACATAGACCATTCAAACTAGTCTTGTTTGGGAACATCCGCATACACAAACTAAAATAATGCTTTTCTAGATTTCTAGGTATTCCTAAGTACGGTCAACCTAAAGTTAAGACCACAGAACTCAGTGTTTCCTTGCTGTGTCAAGGTAACTGCTATCCCTTGTCCACGTTGACCATGTCTGCAAATTATTGAAGCAATCTTTGACATTACTGCAGCCTTGAAAAGGATTCTCTACTAAATAGTACATGAAACATCATTTTTATTTTCAACCTAGTGGTCTGCTTAGTATGTCTTCATCAGACACAGCTGATAATGACCACGTCCCCATAGTTTGCATGAACATATGTTGAAGAAAAATCAGATTATATCCTTGACATGAGCAGAATCTAGTACTGATGTAGATGTGATTACACAGTGTTTTACTTAGACATCTTCTGTTACATCTGTCCTGTGCAGCCAGATCCAGGAGTAGACTGAAACAGTGGCTGGCCTCAGGGGGCTGGTACATAAGGGTGTATTCCCCAAACTGATCTCTTGGAACTTAAGTCCCCGTGACTTCTCTTGAAGAAAGCTGGTATCTCTCCCAATCATCTGGGACCATAACTACATACTATCTACTTTGTCATTCACAAATCATCAGTAACATCTTGACCTGTAAGATCTTGTTCCCTGGTCCTACTGCTTGTGAATGATCAACTTTGTCAAGCATGCACAATGGGACGTGGGAGTGGATCTGTGTCCAGGCTGACCAGGAATCACTTGAGCAGAGGGGAAACTTACCTGCCAGAGCTGGTACTTCACAGAGGTAGCAGGAGGAGGTGGGAATGGCAAAGTTCACGCTGGGTGAGCCCTCTCCAAATCCTTGTCCTGGAGTTATGAAATGCTAGGGGCTAAAAACTGACAGTGGCATTTCAGAGGGAGCAAGGTTTGCATACTGCTGTGTGGAAGCACAGACCTGAGGGTTCTACATTTTTATTTGTGGCCCAACGGATACAGCTAATTCTGATCATGGGTGACAGGGACCTTGTTAGCTTGTAAAATCTGTTCTACCGCAGCTTTGTGTACTCTCCATGGGTGACAACACAACTGAGTGCAAGTCTATCCTGCGTTGACGTTTGTGTTTGGGAAGATGGACTGCAATGCCTTAGTGTTAACCTGTGACTGCTGGGTGCATCTCATGGTGGGACACTCGGCCATATTTGGTTGTATTTTAGTTGGGCTCTTGGTGACTTCATTCTTCAGGTCACGTCCAGCTAGTGATTGTCAGAGCAGGGGACATGAATTGGACAGTTTCCCGAAAACCTGACAATCACCATGCATGAAGTTGTTGTGCCTACCCTGACCTTTGATTCACATCTGAATGTTCCAGCAGAATGCAGTCTTGTCTTGGGGATTGCTCCTTTGAGGAGGTCTGGAAGTATTTGAATGTGATTGTTTCTTCCTTGGTTGAAGTTTTCAACCTAAAGGAGCAAGGACAAATTGGCCTGGTGTGATTTTTTTTTGTGTGTGTGTGTGTGTGTGTACCTGTGTGTGAAGTTTGAAGTTATGGAAACACTGTTTCATAGACAACCTATAAACCTGTAAGTTTGCTCCGTTGCTGTTCAGTCATTAGCACCCCAAATTAAACCTTGGGATTTAACAACACAGCCTGTAATATCTTCAATTTTAAAATACCCTGTTTATATTCTTGATATAAATATAACCATTTAACATTTATCTAAGGAATAAAATGTCCTTTCATTTGAGCTATGAAATGAAACCAGAGTCTTAGTTTGGACTCCCTAAGTTCAGAACCTGGGATCTGTTCTTGGCAAAAACTTAGAAGGGATTCCAAGCCAAGACACTGTGACAAAAAACGACCCGAATGAAAGATCTGAATGAGATCCCAGTGGAAATGGGCCATCAAAGGAGGAGGTACCTTTCTCTGAAGGGAGGAGAGAACCTCCACTTTGATTATGGCCCCGTTGAAATAAAGTTGGAGTTTGTGATCTCAAGAGGCTTCCATAGCCTTGGCAGCTCATGACAAGAGCCTTGGGTGATTACTGACATCATAAGAGTGTCAATTGTTACATCAACAACAGGAGTCACTGTGCACTTGCTCCCCATGTAGGACCTCTGTCCTTAATGTGTTTTACTGTGAGAATGGTAAAATTAGTCTTCAAACAGTACTTTAACAGATTGTACCTACAGATACACAAAGTAGAATCTTTACTTAGTATGCACTCAGTTGATCTTCTATATATAATTAAAAATGAATCCTAAGAATGGGATAGGAAAGTGAGTAGGAGATGGGATGGTTTGTGGGTAGGAGGTGGTTATGGGGGGGGGAAACTGCTACAATCCAAAAGTTGTACTTTCAAAGTTTATTAACTTGAATCTTTACTGAGTATGCATGCCAGGCTAGTGTTGCGGCACAGCAACTATACCCGCTGCCTGGCTCCGGTATCCCATGAGTGCCAGTTCATGTCCTAACTGTCCCACTTCCTATCCAGCGAGTTGCTTGTGTGCCTGGAAAAGCAGCAGACAGTCTGAGTGCTTGGTCCCCTGCCACCCACGTGGGAGACCTGTATGGAGTTCTAGGCTTTGGTTTCAGCCTGGCCTAGCCTTGGCTACTGTGGCCATCTGGGGAGTGAACCAGAGATGGACGATTTCTCTTCCTAAGACTTAAAGTGAGCCCAGGAAACTCCAAGGAGAAAAAGCTTGAAAGGGAAAGCAGCCAGAGTTAGATGGCGCATTTAGCCGATCATCTGTAAGATATCATGGCCAAATTCCACTGGAAGTCAGGAATAACACAGGATTCATCTCAGATTACCCATTCTAGGAAACGGGCTCCTGGGCTTCGTTAACCAGGCAGAGCTCTACAGAGCTGACATACCCCTTTGTGCTTTGGAGGAACTCAAAGCTCTAGGATGCTAGCCTTGAGAGGCCAAAGGAAGGTGTTCTGGTGGGGTAGGGCAGCAGGCATGGTGCTATTTTCCATAGCTACCCTGATAAGGAGGACAAGAGGACAGTAGCAATCACTTTGCGTCTCCCACACTTACCCCCCACCCCGCCACTTCCCAGAAGGATGCCAATGCTTCTGGATATTGCTTTCAGAGAAAGGGACAGGATAACTCTAGTAGGACTAATGGGATACCATGGCTGCTCCTTCAGCCCTGTGAACTTCTAATGAAGGCTACCCTGGAAAGTGACATTTTCATTAATGCCCAGAGCTGATTCGGAGGGAAGGAGGAATGCTTGCCAAAGTGAAATGTCTGTCCTGCATTCATTGCAACGTCTAACCCTGGGTCTTGGATGTTTCGGATGCTGATGACAATATGAAGTGTGGATTCCAAGTCACTTTGCCAACAGGTGCCTGTGGGCTTCACCTGGTTCTTACCTTGCCAATGCCTCCTAGTCCTCTGGGTTCATGATGTGACTTAGATCTGTGGTGGGGGCTCTTCTCTGGTTGTCTTTGTCCTGGACAGATCAGAAGATGACAATGAGTTTCCATTTGGCTTGAATGAGCAGGTAGACCCTCATGACAGACTTTAATCTGCTCTGGCAGTTTGTCAGGTCAGTGGTAGGTGCAGCATCTTGAACTCCAGGAGAAACCCAGAGGAGATCAAGGGCTGCATACAGAAATAAAGTTCTGGAAGCCTGTCTTGGTCTTCCAATGCCTTTGCTAACCTGGCACCAGAGTCCAGGGATAGCGCTGATCCTGGACACAAGGTCTCCATCCAAGGAGCAGGTTCTGGAGTCATTCCCCTCCCCATGGTGTGCAAGTGCTCAGCGGCATGGCTGGCTCCTTAGCACAACAGCATGTTCCAAAGCCCTCGTTGATGCAGGTAGAGCAGCTGAGACTCCTGTAGAGCTACATTGCAGGTGTTTGACGGGGGACCTGGTTCCTGCCATGGCTGATGGGAGGGGAGGATGGAAAATATTCAGAACTGGATCAAGCAGCAGACCTGGTACCCGAGTATGTGGGAGAGATGCCCAACCACCTCTGCTGATGGGCAGTTCATGTAAATCAGGGCTTTGTGGTCCACTCTGACATGTGACCCTCACATAGTCTCAGGCTATTGGGGGTGGTCGTATTGATTGCTTCCTACTATTGGTCAGTCTACTGAATCATCAAGGAGATTGAGACATTTTCTCATCACTTTATGTTGCCTGACCTAATTAATGCAGAACTGGTGTCTTATCTCAACCAGGGGTCCAGTCCAGGAAGGAATTAATTGACCACAGAATGCTTTGTAGGAAAGTCTTTAATTTTATAGCTGCTCTTATAAAAGGAAGATTCAGGTTTTATATAAGTTTGATAATGTCTGATATTTGCATACACTTTTGAAAGGATCCCGTTCATGCCTGCAACATCTCTGTACTATGAGGTGATGAAGATGAGTTTTTTGCCCTCAGTAGTCCTGGACTAGATCTGAGGACTACTAAATGAGATGCTAAACATCAGTGACTTACTCCGGGTCACCTAAAAACCTGAAACAATATCACAGGTCCTACACTAATGTCCTACTTGTGTTTTAACAATAAGCAGCAAACTAGGGGCTTGGGTGAAACACTTACCTTAATGTGGTAGACAAGTTGGGAAAGGATCTCCCTTGGACCAAATCAAGGTGTTGGCAAGTGTTGCCATGGCTGCTTGTCCTGGAGAGCAATTTGGGTCCTGGATTTACCTACTCGTTAGCATCCTGCATGCCTTGGCTTGTGGCCAAGGAATTTCCAGCTTCCCCCTCTCGGTGGGTTCTTGGTGGCCTTAAATGCTGAGGTTAGGACCCAGCAATGTCAGTGGTGGATGCAGGGATGTCCCACAGTAGACCCACTTGTGACAATGCTTTCCTCTCTGCCTGGAACTCTAGACGCAAAGTGTGCTGCCTTTACGGAATCAAATAGGACTTCATTGTTGAGTTGGATGGAAAATTGAATTTGTCTCATAAGGAAACTCCTTGCTTGATGCTCTTGTGATGAACAAAGCCTGCAGCCTTCTGGCCTCGAGGTGACAGTCACACTGTAGAAGCCCAGTGACAGCCTTGCTGATCGACTTGTCCATGATTGGGTGGCTTATTTGCATGCTGTCCAGTAGATTGATACGTTCTACATTGACTTTGTTCTTCCACATCTTAACCTTGTAGTCCTTTTGCATTCAGATAAATTAGATACTAATTTTCGCTGATTCTGTGAATTAAGTAGAATGATTTTGGTTGTACTCAGGAATCCAGTCAACACCATCTAAATGAGAATGGATATTTTGGAGCCTATATTTCAATTACTTTGTCCTCAATTCTCAACTAAATCTGGACCAAAATCTGCATGCTAGTTAATGTTATGGTTATAAAAGCTTTGACATAACACACAGCAGTTAAACTGTCAGCTACCTGCTGCTACTCCTGTCTTCCATGAACCAGACCCTGGAATGAGCAGCTGTCTGAACAGGATCTGTAGATGCTTGAACCACATACCAGAGACATGGCAGGGATCCTGAGCCTGGATGCCTGGAAGTCCTACATCTCTACCATGTACTTTGAGAGCTCAATACAGGGATGTTGAGTGACAAATACACTGTGGCTCAAGTTGATGTTTCCAAGCATTAGGAAACCTGACTTCCAGCTGCACTGTTCATCCCACATTCTTTTACCCGTGAACGTACATTGACTATGTCCCCTTCATTACTTCATATTCTTAAGCTGTTACAGGCTTAAAAACCTCTTGATACAAATATTCTTGAGGCTGTCAATGCTTTTCTAATGCCTCTTAATCCTATTGGATAACTGAGTGTGGGTATGGTCATCTTGGAGACTCTGCCTGTTCAATGACTACCTCCCGAGTCTTGTGGATCATACTGTGACTATTCTGTGGATAGGCACTATTAAATAGTCAGGTACTTAATACTGGTTCAGGTGGCATCTACTTAGGTGAATGGCACTGATCTCTGACATTTGCTTGGGGGTGGGGCAGAGACTTAAATGTTGGGAGGTTGGAGGCTGCCTGCAGTTGTTGGTGTCCTTGGTACCACTGAAAACAAGATTTCCAAGACAAGTGATGGGCAGTGCTCATCATGGACAGCACTGTATTTCCTGGCTAATGTGGACCCTTCTGAAATGAACTGACTCATTGATCCCAAATCCTGAGCAAGAAATGTCCTAGGGTGGACAGGCAAATGTTGTGTAATAGATACTGCCTAAGTGCTCACAATGATGCCACAACCCCTTGAATACTGGACATGGCTGTGGTCCTGCTTCTGCCTAAGCTAGCTTGCAAAGGGACACCTTTCTAAATGGAATGTGGCTGCAGTAAGGGGAAGGTTATTGGGTCTTAGTTACTGCTTGAAGAAAACCTCCTTATCATACTTCAAAGACACAGAAAACGAGCAGGAACCAGATAGTTTACCATGAACTCTTGCTTCCCACCGTAAATGTCTCACAGTGCTTACCTTCCTTGCTTGTGCCTGCTTGTTTTACAGTGATGAGTCCAGCTGCACTGATAGCTATGCTACTTCAACCTGGGACTAAAAATAAGATGCTGGCTAAAACCACCCCTTAGGCACTTTTCTGACAAAGGCTCCCATGTCCCAGCTTGAATCTCTACATGTGGGTTTATGCCTTCCAGGAGGACTTCTGGCTTCCCAGTGGCAGTCGCACTGTAGGGGGCCCTTTGACAGCTGTGCTAACTCATTTTTCTATGGGTGGCAAACTTGCATGCTATCTTCTGGTTTAGTCTTGGGGAATTCAAATCTTAGGTGATTAGGAGTTTTGTATTCTGCATGTCACTCTGATGGTGAACCCATCCCAATCTCCACTCTCCAGGTTTGATTTAGTGAGAAATGGTATCTTAGACTTCAAATACCACGTGTTTATTGTGCAAGAACTTAAGATAGTCGATTTTGTACTCATCTTACTCATTCCTTTCAAATATGGAATGTTAATTGAGTTAAGGTTGCAGATAATCTTCATACATTGTGAGTAGTACACTAAAATTATTTATACAAGTTATAGCCAAAGAAAACTGACAATTGTTGAAGTATTAATCTGTTTCCTATGCTTATTGATCTCACAGGTACAACTTGGTTTTGGTATCAATACTTCCACTTTTACAGCATGAGTGTAGCACTTACAGAACAAATGAACACATGTGGTACAACTGCCCAAGAATCGCAGCTCCTCAGTTAGCTGGGTCACGAATTGAAACCCCCACCATGAGCAAAGTCAGATTCAAGTCCATCAGGAATTGCTGGTAAGAGCTTGTCGGTCACCTCCCTGTGTCACCTCCAGGCCAATGACCAGCCGATTAAGGAGTAACAGATGGAAGAAAGCCTTTAGAAATCCTGCAAAAATGTCCTATCTCCATAACTCATGTTCCTTGTGAGACTAGCTGTGTGTTTTGGGGGTTAGAAGAAGAATTCCCTGGCCCACTTGACTGCTCCCTTAGCCACCCTGAGTTTTTCTTAAAGATGCTTCCAATTTCTTTTCTCGGTATAAAACCCAGAGCTGTTGCATACTCCAGTGCTATGGGATTCTGTCTCAAACTTAGTATCTTGGTAACTGTGAGCAATGTGGGTTGCACGCTGAGGGCTCCTGGAGCTCCTGTGTCTAGGTTCACTCTGGGCATCCAATAGTGTTATCTGTGTCAACATTCTAAATAGAAACTGGGGCTGGAACACTGTTCCCATCCCTCTTATCCCCCAAAGGAAACTCTACCCAGGAGCCTGCATCTTTATGTACACTGGGTATGATACGACTCTGGTAGCCCAGGTCTGTGCCTGGCTGTGCACTTGCAGAGTGGGTGGAACAGAGTGGGGAGCATCAGTTCCTGGCACAGCCACTCGGCCAATGTCCAGACCATAAACCATGGCTACCCTGTCCCTTTCTATTCCCCATGCCCAGATTCCTTAAGGAAATTGCCATGAAAATTATCAATAGGATCTCTGTTAAGTGGTGTATAGTTTTGTCTCCACGTATAAGTTGATGACCATGGGTCCCTAGAAGTCTTTGCTAAGAAATAGCTTACGAAGGCCATGCCCCCATCCCCAACTCAAATGGATGTAGTATAGATTAAGGGAGAGTAAATTGTCCCTGCAGAGATGGGTGGTGTATATTAAAGCTTTTTTTTTTTAATCTAAGCAACCAATCCTCTGAAGCAAAAATAAGGGCTGTGTATCTTGTGCCCAAACCACTAGACCAAGTAAACATTACATTTCTGGAGTCTGAGAAAGGGATGATAGTTCTATGGTGTCATATTTCTCTAACATCTTGTAATCTTCATAGATGCTTTACCTCCTTGGTTAAACTTATTCCAAGGTATTTAAAAATTTTTTTTGTAGCTATTGTGAATGGGATTGATCTTAAAAGTTTGTTCTCAGCCATGGCACTGTCTGATACAAAGGCTATTTTTATGTTGATTTTTACATCCTGCGACTCTACCAAACTCAAATTTCCAAAGACTTGTCTTCCAGCTCATATTCTGCCTCGGCAAGTCCGAGGCTTTCCGTTGTATTTTGACCCTGAATTGTTCATTTCTAATACTTACAGATTTGAGAAATCAAGCGTGTCTCATGGAAGAAGTTTTCATCCATCTTAGATTGCTAGAACTCATGACTCTGCTTCTCAATGCTTCTGAATAGTTCTGTGATCACTATCTTGGATTGTCGGGCATTTCAGCAGTCTTTGCATATTCTAATATTGAACTATGTTTCTCTGAAGGAGCAACATTTTGTTCTTGTTTCTTGTATTACTACATTGTTTGGAAATTTGTGGAAACACTTGTTCTCCATTGATAGGTTTTATCTTTGAACTACGCCTCTGGCTTAGTGGAGTGAGGTTTGTGCTGGGTGGGGCCAGGGAGTTTTGGTCAGTGCTTTAGGGTGAGATGAGAATACAAGGTGACACCCAGGTTGGTCATGGTAGTTCTCTTGTCTGCAGGGAGGAGAGTCCGATCGTGTCTGGCATAATCAGAACCTCACCTCTCTTACAAGGTGATCAATGCCTGGGGTTAACCCACTGTGGCTACAATTCTCATGCTGGAACATGAACCACACAAAGGATCTGTGCAGCCCTCTGAACACGGAACCCTCTGCAATGACCCATCCTTAGGCAGCTGGGGAGCTCTAAGCCTCTGACGCCAGACATGATTACCCAGAGACCCAGCTGTGATCTGTGCCCTATTGTGCAGTCCCAGAATACTCAGCCACAAGATAGAGGACCCTTTCAGCCCTGTGAGCATGCCCCATCCACAGAATGAGCAGGGACATTTCCAGGGCCAGCTGCCTGTGGGTGCTCTGCCTTGGCAGTTTGAGCCCAGAGCCTGTGATAGGATTGTGAGGTGCTCCCAGCCTCTCAACCTAAGTGGGTTCCCAGCCCCGTCACCCTTCTAGCCAGACTAACTCAACTGGGGAACGTGGAACTTTCCCTCTAAAAATCCACTGCTCACGTGCACACGTGCAGGAGACGCCGCAGCTTCTACAGGTGTCAAGATGGTGCCTTCCCCCTGCCAGCTGCCTGGTGGCCTTTTGGGGGAAGATGAGGATAAAGAAATGTACTTTTCCTTCACTGAATTAGCTTGGTACCCTGCCCTCTGCGAGGGCTCCAGGCTGGACTTGGAGTCAGTGTGGTTCGCCAGGTGTTCTCCCTTGTGCAATATCACCGGTGGCATGGGCTGCCGCAGCCTGTTCTTGCCTCTGTGTCAGACGCTGGTGTCTCCTCCAGCTCCCGGTCTGGGAGTCGGGTGTGGGATCCCCATGTGCTGCTGTGCCTCTGCCACTTCCTGGCTGTTCTGTGGTGTCCCTCTTTCACCACAAACCTCTCTCCAACTCAGTCCTGGGAATATACTTCTCAGCTTTTTATCTGCTACCTTCCCCTGATCAAAATCAGCATGTCTTCCCTATTCCGCTATCTTGGAATCCCTGAGCATTGGATTTTAAAGCATTACGTTAAATGTTTTCCAAGGCTGAATATTTAAGTGTCAGGGAGGCTAGGGGACTGGTGACTTTAAATCTCAAACTTGGCAAACTGTCTTCAAGAGGAGATATCCATGCTACTTGTCTTGATCTCAGCTAACAGGCAGTCACCTGAAGACTGTCAGCTGGGTACTGTCTCAGATGATTGCGGGTAAGAGGATGAGTTGCCACTGAAGACCATAGCCTCTTGGAGGTTTGCACTCCTCTTGTCCAGAGGAGGCTTTACTGGTAAGAATTCCTGGTACCCTTGATGAAGACCTGATGACTCAAGGTTGCCACGTTTGTCTGGAACAGTGAGGGGTATGAACTGGAAGACCCTGGTGCATGTGAGTGAAGTCTTCCACATCTAGGAGCGAGAGTGGGGCCCTTGACAGGGAGGTGGACTCACCTGTGGCAGCTTGTGCACTTGAAGTGAATCACTTGATGTGGCAAGATGGCAGCTGCTCTAGATCCTTGTGTGCTGCATTTTGAGTCTGAATTTAGAGAAGGGTTTGAGGTGAAGCTTTTCTTACCCTATGCATTGGAAGCAAATACTAATTACATCAGTGAAACCAGTCTAATGGGTGGGGTGGGGGTGGGGAGTGAGATGTTGATCCTGAAACCAGGTAGCTCTATAGGCTATATGCCTTAGGAGAAAACATGTCTTGTGCAGATTTCTAACATCTGATAAGCACTCACATTTTTTTTAGCTCCAAGATTTCTTTGAATTATTCAGATTGTGAAGTATCTTCCTAAGGTATAGCAGTTTTGAGTGGCCAGTGCTGTGTGCCAAATTCCCTTTACTAGTGCATGCAGTATCTCCTCACTCTGCAGTGCCTAATCTTGTGCTTGCTTTGCTGCCCCACTGTCCAGGGTGTGGGTTCCTCCTCTATGCTGTGTTCCAGGTTGGGAGGGAAGGTAGAGGCAGTGCCTTGGTTGTCTGGCTAAAGGAATTCCAGAGGTTCAGTCTTGGGTACGGACTAGGGGGCAGGGGCTGTGGGGCTCTTCCTAGCACTACGCTTTAGTTACAGGCCTGATACTAAGACCTGAACTTAATTCGCTTCTTCCCAAGTTGCTGTGCTGCTTGGAGTCAGGTTGAAGGAGGGATAACACAGGCAACTCCTTCCTTGCTCTTTTCATAACTAGATGTCAGTCTCATCTTCCCCAGCTCTTCTTGGGGTACATTGATAAGTGAGTAGCTGATCAGATTTGTGTCTGGGAACATCAGTGGAGGGTCTTACTCAGCTGCCATCTTGCTGGTACTGTTTTTCCCTGTTAACCTAGGCACACTAACAAGGACACAACTTCTGATCATGCTAAGCAAACTCTTACCTGAGTGACTTTGCCTTTTTAAGTCTTGACAATAAAAATGGAGGTGAAACCTAGGTAGCTGAGGATGTATCTCTGAATACAGAACTGGAGACATGGGCTTTAGGCGGGTACTGTATCTGAAAATGATTCCAGGGAGCAGGGAAGAGGGAGTGTTGCAGGTGAGATGGGGTGGGATGAACAGCCACTGAGGGGTATTAGACAGCACTGATACAGTCACTTCAAGGCTGACAACTGGGCCTTTCGCCATATAGAGGCTGCATATCAGGATTCTTCTCTGGACCTGACCTATCTGCTCACCTATCTAACTCTTGTTTTGATGGTTACCCCCCTGCTGAAGTATTAGTTCCCTCTTGCTGCAAATATGTGGCTCTGCATGAAAACATGCATCCGGATGCCTGTGGTGTGGCCCCAATGTGATGTATGCCTTCCATTGCAATGTCGGACCACCTGGGTGGGTGTCAACAGAAGAGGGGTGGGCTCTGTGCCTACTGCAATAAGGAGCCCCCTATTATGTCTTCCTTAGTTGGGGCATTTTGACTTAATCTACTTGTTCTGCTTGCCTTTCAAATAAGTCTCCCATTTGATGGTCACTCCCTACATACATGCCCATACAGCTGGCCAGGAACTTAATCGAGGTCTCCCACGTGCATGGAAAGGGTCTAACTTCTCCAGCCATCACTTGGCTCCCATGGTGCACTTCAGCAGGAAGCTGGAGTTGGAAGTGGAACTAGGACTCAAACTCGGGTATTCTGATACAGGAGTCGGTCGTCCTGAGCAGTGTCTTCATTGCTAAACCAAGTGCCTGACACTGAGAGCAGATTCTTTACACAGCCCCATTCTGGCATGACCCCATCTTGGCCCCAACAATACTGCTTGAATTAAACATACCTATGGATGTAAGCCTTTGAGAATTACTATATTCGAAGGAAAGTTGCCTTGTAAACTGTAATGCTTTGTTTTGGGATCTAAGATGAGCTCTCATAAGTCGGATCCACCTTACCTGCCATGAGTTGAGCTAGGATGAGTTGCCATGTTAGTATTCATACTGACTCATGGTTCACTGGCACATTCTGTGGAGGGAAATGGGACCCGAAGCACTAACAGGTCACTACTGTAAGGTATCTTGTTAGGGTTGAGCCCTTCACCTCTCCTGCATTCAATGTGAGCCACCAGAGAAAGCTGAACACCTTGGCTTCTAAGAATTGTTTATATTCTCTCTGAATTGTGAAGTTCCTTTGTGATAGGAAGAATTTGTCCTGACATCCTATCTTCTGGAGCTCCCCTGAATTTTGGGGAGTCTAATTGTGCCTCCTTTGCCCTACCCACTTAAAACTCCTAGGGTTAAGAGATGAGATGGTTTGAAATCCTTCTGCCTTGCAATTCCTGGCAGGCCCATGCCAAGTACCTAGACTGGTAAACTGAGCTCAAGTGGAGACTTAATTGTGTTAAGACCAAGTGTCTGCTAATAATAGATTTATTAAGAGAATGATTCAAAAGGGAAGCAGACTCACAAGCAGACTCAAAAAATCGCAAATTCCCTAAACAGCACTCCGGCCTCAAAATCAGCCCTTAAGGCATTCGGTTTTGGCTAAAAAGCCCATGAGAGTTTCTCAGGCATGGAAAGCCAAGGCACTTTGTCAAAAAAATGACCTAAATGAAAGATCTCTGGCTGGCGCCGTGGCTCTCTAGGCTAATTCTCTGCCTGTGGCGCCGGCACCCCAGGTTCTGGTCCAAGTTGGGGTGCTGAATTCTGTCCCGGTTGCTCCTCTTCCAGTCCAGCTCCCTGCTGTGGCCCGGGAATGCACTGGAGGATGGCCCAAGTGCCTGGGCCCTGCCACCCGCCTGGAGACCAAGAGGAAGCTCCTGGCTTTGGATTGGCACAGTGCGCCGGCCGTAGCTGCCACTTGGAGGGGTTAACCAAGGGAAAAAGGAAGACCTTTCTTTCTCACTGTCCACTCTGCCTGTCAAAAAATCTGAGATCCCAGTGGAAAGAACGGGCCATCAAAGGAGGTAGCTTTTTCTGAAGGGAGGAGAGAACTTCCACTTTAACTATGGCTCTGTTGAAATAAAGTTGGAGTTTTGTGATCTCAAGAGGCTTCCATAGCCTTGGCAGTTCATGACAAGAGCCTCGGGTGATTACTGATGCCATGAACAAGAGTCTCAATTGTTAACAGGAGTCACTGTGCACTTGTTCCCCATGTAGGACCTCTGTCCTTAGTGTGTTGCACAATGTGAATTAATGCTGTAACTAGTACTGAAAGTATTTTACACTTTATGTTCTGTGTGAGTGCAAACTGTTAATCTTTGCTTAGTATAGTTGATCTTCTGTATATAAAGATAATTTAAAAATGAATCTTAAGAATGGGATGGGAGAGGGAGTAGGAGGTGGGACAGGAGTGGGGGTGGGAGGGCGGGTATTGGGAAGAACTGCTATAATCCAGAAAGTAATACTTATGAAATTTATAGAAAGCTTTTATTTACTATAAAAGTCAATTGTGTGGCATTGACTTGCTCAGTGCTGTGTTGAATTTGGCCCCCTTCATTCCAGTGTCATCCAACTTGTCATCCTTGGGCCCCTGCCTGCCTGAAATTTTTCATCTTTACTATACTTAGATTGAACAATGTTTAACATTTTGCCACATTCTCTTCATATATAAATATTAAATGCATATACATATTTACACTATCCTTAAAAGTGGGGGTATTGGGCCGGTGCCATGGCTCACTAGCCTAATCCTCTGCCTGCAGCGCCGGCACCCCGGGTTCTAGTCCTGATTGGGGCACTGAATTCTGTCCCGGTTGCCCCTCTTCCAGTCCAGCTCTCTGTTGTGGCCCGGGAAGGCAGTGGAGGATGGCCCAAGTGCTTGGGCCCTGCACCCCATGGGAGGCCAGGAGGAAGCACCTGGCTCCTGGCTTTAGATCGACACAGCGTGCCGGCCATTTGGGGGGTGAACCAACGGAAGGAAGACCTTTCTCTGTCTAACTCTGCCTGTCCAAAAAAAACCAGGAGTATTAATGTCACATGTGAGATTCATGACAAGGCCCATGAAGTAGGAAAAGAGCATATTACATAAAGGGTATAATTCAGAAAATATTTATAGCTATACATGGAAAAAATACACCCATGCAATTCTTATACTTTAATAACTTTGACATGTGAGAGAAAGCATGTGGAACTTGTATTTCTATGTCCAGCTTTTTACTTTTTTAAATATTTCAAATACAGAAAAGTGTGAAGAGTTTAATGAGCACACAGACTTATCAGTTAACATTCTGTATTTTCCTCATGTAAACATCTTTTAACATTGTATCACATAATGTGGGATTCATAAGAAAATGAAGTATGTTATGCAGTATAATTCAAATGATTTAAATATATACCAAATAATATGGCATCCATACATTTTACTACATATATATTCCATATGGGAGAAAACCTGGTATTCGTGTCTAGATTTCACTAAGCATATTTTCAATTGTATTGATTTTTGTTGTAAGGATTAGTTCTTATGGCTCAGTGACATTGCATTGTGTATGTACTATCTCACCTTTATCCATTCATCCATTGATGAACAGGTTAATTCCATATACTTGCTGCTATTATAGTGCTGTAACAAACATGGGAGTAGAGGGATTTTCATATGTTGGCTTCATTTCTTTTTGGATATCTTTCCAGAGGTAAGATAACAGGGTCATATGGTAGATCTACTTTGAGTTTATAAGGAATCTCCCTACTGTTTTCTATAATAGCTCTATTAGTCTGCGTTCCAGCTAACAGTCTAAAAGGGCCCCTTTTTCTCCATATCCTCACTGGTATTTTTTGACTTTTGGATAACCATTCTAATGGGAGTGACACGATGCCTCACTGTGATGGTTCTCATTTCTGTGATGGCTAGTGATAGAGGATTTTTTCATCTGTATTGGCCGTTTGTATTAAGAATGTCTACTCAGGTACTTGGCCTATTAACTGGAGTGTTTAATTTCTTGAACAACTTTTATGTTCTCTATTGATTCTATATCACATGCCTCGTTTGCCAATATTTTGTCCCATTCTTGTCATCTCACTTTTTTACTGTTGCAGAAAGCTTAGTTTTGTATTCAACTTTGCTACAGTCACATATCTTGGTGTGGAGTCTTTTGGTTCTTCTAGAATCGTATAACC